GGGACAAGTGCCTCAATGTATAGGGAGATTATGTTGAGAAATAAGTGACAAGTGTGACAACGCAAGCGTCACTGCTCCAATGTGGGCAGTTCCCACACATTTTTCAAATCAGTACTCTTATTCGTTTAAGTTATATATCCATTTGTAACTTACTTATTGACTTACCCCTGTATCTCAGTAGTCTAGTGGTTAGTATGCAAGGTTAGTTTTCAGAGGATTCAGGGTTCAAACCTGACTGCTTCTATTAATTCAGTATAAAGAATAAAAACACAAAATATCTGCAAGTAGGCAAGTGGTCACCTCAAGATGAGAGCAGAGGCAGGATGCAATTGGCATTGTGAGTCAGTACATAGATCCCAGTGAGTAAAACTATAGGCAGGCTCACCTGAATGCATCTACATCGAGTTTGTGGCAGACTTCTGTACTGATGTGGCAATGACCTCCACAACCCGTTGGATCACTGGGGTCATGTGGCTGTCTACAGGTTGGCACATCCTCATTACTCAGTGCCACACACACTTCACCAGACACACACTCGTCACAGTGGCGATAGGAAGGCAGTGACAGATCTGCTCCAACATGTTCACAGCACAGAAAATATTACAAATAAGTGATAATGTGAAAACGAAAATCATTACTAATATGGGACTGGCAATGTGTAGAAATGTTTCTTTAGTGTGTCTTAAAAGAAATGTGACTATTCTCTGGCTCTTGTAGAACAGGTCCCCAGGACAGTGAGAACTGTCCAGTTTGATTAATCAAGTGACAGTCAAAGGACAGTGAGATGGAAACACAGACATTTACAGACTGGCTCCAAAGAAATAGGGGGGGTTGAGGGGAGCATACTGGATTAATTTGATTCTGGCTCTAGTGGACAGAGTACTGAACCTTTGGCTTCTGTAAGAAGCATGAAATTTCTTGAACAGCTAAGTGACAATTAGCTTCCCGTGAAGAACTGCTCCATGGAGTTTGCCAATTACTTTATGGTGCAAATGATAATTGCTCACCCATTACTGGTATCTCAGGACCTCTTCTACTGGAGTTTACTAGTGTTGTGTTATCTGCAACAGATTCAAGACGCTCTGTTGTTTGCATGGTAGCTGTATTCCCCTCAATTGTTTCCATGCTGGAAGAACTGGACCCTGCAGCAGGCTCAACTGCCATATCTACACCTATGTCATTTGACACAATCTCGCCTTCTTCAAGTACCCTGGATGACAGAAATGTTACAGTACTCGCGTTCTCACAATCTCTCACTTCAAGATCACCCCCTGCCTGCTCTAGCAATAGGCAAGGCTCAATGCTTGACAGCACAGCTCCCTCTCCTGTGTCCAAGCGACATGATCTGCTTCGCATCTGGGTCCTTGTGGATGCTGCTGTGAAAGTGTTGCACTCACTCCATGCAGACCATGATGACCAACCAGGAAGAAGAGCCACATCTGGTTTCTGTTCAGGTAGAGCTGTTGTATCCATGACAGCTATAATATAACAGTTGGGCAAGAATTATCAAGAAGATTCTTTCTTTTCCCCCCCTTCCCCCACAATTTATAGTTCTAGTCTGTCATATTCAGTGTATAATTTTAAAGCTTAACTGAAGTGATTGTACACAATTCATTTTAATAACAGTATATACATGTATAATTAACAAGTACAATACAGTGGAAAGTTACAGTACCAAAACAAGATAATCACATGTATAATATTTACAGAAGACATCTTGACTATTACATTATTAATACATTGCAATATTTATCATGTTACTGAACAGCTGATATATGACTATCAGTAACCACTTGGTATTGGTTTCTCTAGTGCACCACTACTTCACTGTATGCCACTACATTTTCCTCTTGTGCTTCGCAGTGCCACGTTTGTTTCTCTAAACACCACCATATGCCACCTCTATAAGCTTGTGGTCAGAATCAGCTCAACGTGCTTCAGAACTCCCCACCATTTTTATGCAGTCAAAGTCATTCTGGAAACTTTCCATGGGTTCCCAAATGTCCACAGCTATCAGGTGGAATGGACATTTTGAGAAAAATCTAGAAGCTGATAGGGCATACTTAAGTTGAGAAGTAAAATGACAGACACATTCCCTCCACAACCTCAAGTCAGGCGACATGCTTCTTCCTCAGGAATGCTTGTCCAGAGAAGTACCAGATCTGGAGCCAGTCTCTCCTGGTGTAGCATATCATCTTGACCCTGGGATGAGGCTGGATTCTGTAGAGTACTTCGCTGGTTTGGGTGCCCACACTGTAAGGACTTTCCCAGAGTGGCCACAGCTTTGGTGAATCTCCCCTTTCCCAAATCAGGCCCGGTCTCCATTCTGGAATCCAGCGGAGTTTGACAGGTTGTCACTTCGGGCCTCCATCCTATCACTGGTGATCCTCTCCAACAGCACCCTACTGTTATGCTGATTTATCAGGCCCCGGCTCCAAGCTTGGAGACCTCAATGTGCTGCGCAGAAATCACACTATTGGCACCACTCTCAGAGTGGCTCCTGGCCTGTAGCCAGTAGTATCGTTGTCTGACCTTGTTTAGGGCTTTGCTGATGTCCATGGATCCTCCTGAAGATCCACTGTGGAGATATTCCAGTACTTCCCTTGCCTTCTTCTGGTGTAAAACTATTTGGGCTGTCTTTGACCATCTGTCAACTCTCCCCCAACTACATTGCAACACCAGGGAGCTCCACTGAGCCAATCAAATCTTGTAAATGGTACTATGGTCAGCTGGACACTCACCAACCTTCACTTCCCATAGGATTGGTCCCAGGCTGCCATCACACAGCTACTCAGTCCTCATGGCAGCATGGTCTGAGCTATCTGCAGCTGCCTGACTTCCCACGCACTGGTGTAAGGCGTTCTGGAGAGTACATCTTTGATGATGCACTTCCATACCTGGAGACGTTCAGCCACCAAAACAGATGCATATCTCATGTGACTAATCTGGCGTCCTAGCCCTACCCGCCCCAGAGTAGGCAGACTTCGAAATTGGTTACCTTAAGTTGTTCACCAAATCCAGAGGGCCTTTCAGTCATGCAGTCATGACTCTCCCACACCGAGTCAGCATTACGTCGTTGATGGTCATCATGAGGAGAAATAGTTATGATTTTGTCCCGGGACACTTTAATGACACTTCTTTGACCAGCAGTAGCACACTGTTCTTCAGATGCACCGCCACATCGGAAACTTGCAGAAAGTGCAGTCCAGAGTGTATTTATCTGTGATCTTCGAAATGACACAGCCAGATGTGCAGCATGCTCCACCTCAGAGTCGACTCTATCAGAGTTTTCCTTAAAACTGGGAAGATCCCCGTTGACGCCACATGCAGGACATAGGCCTATTCACCTCCCTCTCAGGCAGTCTTGCCATGATGTCAAGCCTCGTGGTGGTCACAAAGCATCTCGCCCTCAGTGTTTAGTCTGCCTTCGTTCCTCTTGACTGATACATTGGGTGTGAAGCAAGGGTATGGGGGTGATACAGCCATTGCCTTCTTCATGTTGTCTCTTGTTTGTTTGTACAATTCCATCAGCTTCTCCTAAGGCAGTCTTTCACATCACACCTCTCTCAACAGTCTCTCTTGAGACTCTTGCCAGCACACTGGCTGTCCAGTCCTGCAGTGATCGGTTACTGGAAACCATGCTCTCATGGAGATCCAGCCCTTACCTCCAGTAGCCATGCTGTTAGTGCAGCTACCACCGGCACAGGCTCTAACTTCAGGGCTTGGATAAAGGCTTCATTAAGCGACATCTTGCATCTGCCACTTCATCAACGAACGTATAGGCCAACTACCCATGGATGAAATCCTCAGGAAAACTGACAATGGCCAAGTACTCAGTAACCGATGAAAATACCTGTAGTGTCTTGCCCATCAGCTGGGTCCTGGCTGCTGCCCGCTGGTGGTCTCTGCAAGGGCCATTCAGCACCCCAGTGATACCCTTGCATGTCACTCCGGCGGGGAGACTGAGTAGGATATCGGCCCCTACAGAATGGTGAATAGATGAGTGGGCTCCTCATGGGCTGTCCAACTACTGTGTTCAGCCACAACCTCAAACTTTTGCTGAAACGCTGTTTCAGATATAGATCAGTCAAACTTCAGCGGCTTATTCATGATGGCACTGATTGCCACCACTACCACATTAAAGCTGGGCTTCTGCTGATGCCAACTGTGTCTCCAACTCCCGATGAATGGCCTTCAGGTTGCATCAATTCGTGTCACCTGCCCTCACTATCGAAATCCTCACAAAGATTCCAAGCCTATTGTTTGATCAATAACATGGCTCCCTTCAACTATCTATATAGCATGTCAGTTGTTGTTTCTGAAATTCACTCTTGACAGTCTTTATGTCACTTATTTCATTTTTTAGTTTCTTCCAGTAGGCCACCAGTTGGTCTTGATCAGTGCCAAAGAGTACTGAGAAATGTACATGTTTTGACTACTGGTGGCCATCACCAGGAGGCAATAAACATTATGAAGGAAATATTTTACATAAGCTGCTTTTACAGCACCGAGGTGACTGTATTTCTTACCTCCATCATTATTGATTTTAAGATGCATAACTAAAAAACAATTCTGTAGAAAAAGTGAAAGGCTTCATACTATGCTTACTTAAGCCTTATCACTTTCCTTAGTACACATCACTTCAATGACTAGATTCTAAAGGGCTCTGACGATGGTGCGTAACACTCAGAATTACTGTTTTTTTCTTTCTTTCTTTCTTTCTTTCTCTTTTCCTTCCCCCCTCCCATTCTAAGAACTAGAGAATGCAACATTTCAAGAAGTGGATCTGTTTCCATCTTCATGTGAAGGGGAGATACCTACTCTGTTGGATTCCTCAAAAAGAGCTAACCTCAATCACTGGACAACCCATGTCAGTATAACTACAGCTATGTAAATACCTGAGACCAGTCTTTGTTGAAAGGAGGCAACAGGAAAATATGCAACAAAAATTGTGATAAAACGTGTACAGACAGATTACAATTTTTATTGCATAGTTTTGTGTTACCTCCCCTCGACAAAGACTGGTCTCAGGTATTTACATAGCTGTAGTTATACTGACACTGGTTGTTCAGTGATTGATGTTGGCTCTTTCTAAGGGACCCAACACAGTAGGTGTCTTCCCCCTCACCTGAGAACAGAAACAGATTTAGTCTCCAAAACCTTGTATTCTCTAGTTTTTAGAATGCCACATGATGGACAAAGCCTAGCGGCCTCCATAGTCTATGGGTAACGTTCCCACCTCATGACTCAAGGTACGCGAGTTCAAACCCGGCAGAGGTCGTGGAATTTTTAAGGGCGGAAAAATTCAGGGAATAAGTCCTCTGGGAGGGACTTTAAGCCATGGGTCCCGTTTCGTAGATTTACGGCACGTAAAAGATCCTCATGTCTCTAGGAGACCTCTGAGCAAAATTAGGCAAAAAGTTTCCTGCCCAAGTAGTTTCCAATGCCTCTGGTAGATGAGGGAAGTATCGGGTACCGAGGGCCGACCTCGTTGGCTGAACGGGGCTGATAGCACGCACTAGTACTGGTAGGGTATGGCGACTGGTAGAATATCAAAGCGGGACGTACAATAGACTATTAGTCGCGGTGCATGGGGAAACCCACCCCCTCCAATAATAATAATAATAATAATAAATAATGGACAAAGCCTAAAAAACAGTAATTCTGAGTACTTCAATGATTCTTACTCCACTATGAAAGTAGGAAATCTCTTGATTCCCCTGTCATGAATTGCTGCAATATTATAGCAAGATAAATTCACATACCAACAAATCCTATTGATTGCACGTCAATAGCAAAATTTCCCAGCCACATTTGGCCTTGATGATGTCGCAGTCCCCGCAGGAATTCCAACCCTGCCTGGTTTGCAGCCTCACCATTTGGAGGCGCTGATAACAAAACCAGTTTGCATTGTACCAGAATACCACCATTTCCTGCCTTCTCTAAATAATCACTGAACTGTGTCACATGTGAGTGATTGTAGTGTGCAGACAGCGTGCTGGCAGAGAAGAGGATGTTCAGCTGAAACATGTAAAATTTCCGTGTTTAATTATAATGTTAGATGGGTCCTCCTAGTATCAGTAATTTCACTGTATGCAGTTTTTCATTCAAGATGGGTAATGAGGATATTGTAATTGGTAGTAAATACTCTAGAAAAATGGTTCTCAAACTATGTCTCAGCAGAACACCATTGTTCCGAAGCACAAACTAGATCAAGGTGTTCCATCTCTGAAATAATTCAAGTAATGGTGCCCCCCCTTCATTTTCAAAGAATAAATGAAGTTTATAGATTGAATTTCCTCAATTTTACACATTTTCACAATCTCATACATATTTTATTCTTTGTTCACCTTTCATCTGTGACAGGTGTGATTTATTGATGGTTGTTTCACCACCACCACCACCACAACCATCTTCATCACCTTTGTCACCTTCAACACCTACTTCCTCCTCCTCCTCCTCCTCATCATCATCATCATCACCATCATCACCATCATCATCCTCTTATCACAGGAGTATTCCTGATACTTTTCTTCAATAAATGGTGACCCCCTGCACTCACTCTGTCTCAAAGACTGCAGTACTTCCCTTATTACATGCTCTGCTCCCAGCAAAGCTGATTCTTTTTGTACAGAATCTAATGAAGTGGGCCACAGCAGCATGGTTCATTGAGGCACTATGCTACAAGCCATACAGCATGGTTTCAATTGTCGATGAGGTCACTGGATTTTTCAATTGACCTAATACTTCCAGCCACACTATGGCCCTAGGGTCAACTCAGCCTCCAGTCTTGTCAATTGAAAAAAAGAAATACCTCATCGGAAATCGAACCTGCTACCGTCTGGTTTGTAGCATAGTGCCTCAATCAACTACGATACCATGTGACACTTAAATGGTGTCACAATCCAGAAGAGCACAATGTGAACATTCAGTGCCATAAAATATCAGTTCTTCTATTACTGTAACCTCTTTTATCAATCTACAGTTGGACATTTCAACGCTACTAACTCCACACTGTTTAAAAAACGTAATAGTATATCTTCTCCTGTCATTTCTAAAGTTAAAAATAATTGGAAAGTAAAGAAAATCGCGGTGTCTGTGAATAAATGCAATATTCTGACAGTTGCTGTGCACTTGGCTCCTGCAAGATGAAGCAAAGGTGTGAGATGGTGATTATTACTTTCAATACACAGAAACATTTCATCCATTTCTCTCCAGTCCTCTGTTTTTCTGGTATGCTTTTTAGGTGACAGTAACTATGTTTACAGAGCATAAGTCGCCTATGTCCACGATTATGCCACTCGTTGGCAACTGTTTTATGTGTGCATGATTGGAAGTATCCAGGGCAGTGACTATGATGAAAAATGTCTTAGGGATGTGATGCTCTGTAGTTTTATGCATGTTTATCGACGTTATGGACGAATGTGACTCCTCCATCTTCAGGGTGGAAGAGTAAACTGAGTGTGGAAAAAAGTGGAATGGATACAGGAGGAGGGATGGCTAGGATAAGAGCCCTGAGTGAACCAATACAGAATCTGAGGGCCTTGCCAGGGCCATTTTGCAAGAATGAAAGTATGAGTCAAATAATGGCTCCAAGTGAGTAAGTACATGGTGTAAGGAGGTCAGAAATGATGATGTAAATAAATAGTAACACTAAAATACTAGTTCAATGGCAGAGTGGTTGGGAGGAAAGTTAAACACTACAGGGGCTGAGGGGAGAGCAGTGTGGAAAGAAGAGTCAGAAAAAGGAGGACACAAGGCTGCAAGAATCCAAGGCCCTTGTAAGGACCATTTTGCTGGGGAAGTGTGATGAGCTCTGAGTAACTAGTGAGTGGTATAGGAAAATCAGGAGAGAAGTATGGAAACAGTGAACCTAAAGGACATGTTTCAACAACTGAGTGGATGTGGGATAAGCAAAAGGACACTTACAAAGGCCAAGACAGAGTAAGAGTAAAAAAAGTGGAAGGGGTAGGAGGCCCTAAAGAAAGCAGATGTGTGCCCTGAAAAGGACAGTATACACTAGAGCAGACAGTCTGGTTCACTGAAGTTTGGAAGAGGCCCTGTAAGGTGAAATGTTTCTGCATGAAATACGCCAATAAGCAAGAACATTTTCAACAGTTGCTTGACCTTACTGCCTAATGCTCTCCTGGCAATGGTGAAGGAATCCATGCTCGAGATGGGAGTGCCAGCTGGGTGGGATATATGTGTGACAGGAGAAGAATGTGTGATGTGAGAGTGAATGTGTGATCAGGTCTGAGAATAAGAGGCTCAGTGACAGTGAGAGTGTTAGTGTATCAGTGTGCATGTCTGTGTAGTAAATATACTGAAGGCATAAATGCTCTCATATAAGAGTCCATTATGTTAAATCTTTTATTTTCAAGTTTTAATGGTTCTGTGGGAACCTCCCACATCCCACAATTCTAATAGGTTTTAACAAGTTCTGAATTATTCTAAACCAATGGAACCTCAATAAGAGACTACCTAGAGGAATGGACTGTGATGTCAGTTGCTTACTGCTTCAAAATCTATTAAAACGATACATAATACAGAGGGGTAAAAAAAATGTACTCACTCTTTGACAGTCAATATCTTTGGAACAAAATTACTTGTAGTTACATTTCTTGTGCGGAGAGAGAGAGAGAGAGAGAGAGAGAGACATTGTATGTGTTCGAAGTGACCACCATCAGCAGCTAAACAGTGTCGATGCCGCCAAACTGCTGAGTGAACTAGGGCTGTCAGTGTGTCCAGTGTGATAGCTGCACACAACCGCTTCGATGGTTTCTCGTAGCGCGTTCAGTGTAGCTGGCTTTTATCCATAAACTTCATCCTTCAAGGTTCCCCATAGGTAGAAGTCGAGAGGTGTTAGGTCTGGAGACCGTGGTGGGTACTCAACAGCACCTCTTTGACC